CTTTACACGGCCCCCTTCCAGCCGCAACACCAGCTGCTCAGCAGCCCTTGCGGAGGCAGGAGGTGAGAGCGAGAAGGCGGAGAGCAGCCAGGAGGGGAAGGAGGAGGGACACAGTCCCTGGGGGACCGCAGGAAGCACCCCTCACCTCAGGCCTGGAGACGCTATCGCCGCGTGGAGAGCCTGCCAGGCCCGGAGACAGGCGACCGGCGTGTGCGGGGCAATAGCTCACGTCCGAGTAAATTGGAGTTGATATCTCAGGAGGCAGGTCCCGCCCTCCCTCGGAGCCTCTGTGGCCACGCCTGAGGGCTCGGCACACGGACAAGACCGCTCCGCTCCACAGTGGGACCTGCACACCGTCCTAGTGTTAGCGTCTTGGTCTACAGGCCCCAGAGCCCGGGGACAAAGCAAACCTCACGGTCATCCTCCGGGGTGCACAGGAGGGAGGTCCCTGTCACCCCGGAACTCAGGGACGGCGGGTCAGGAAGAGGGGTCTGTGCGTGTGCGTGTGTGACAGTGTGTGTATGTGTGTGTGTGTGTGTGTGCGCGCGCGCGCGCTGGTTGCTTCATTTCCTGCGTTTTCTCGCACAGAAACCCAGGTGTGTTCTCGCCGACGTTAATCCGGTTGGTCAAATCCCACCCCCGCCTGCTGCCCCTTGTTCCCAGGGGCCAGGGCCCGGGCCGCCCGCTCCCAGGTAAGCACGCTGACACGCCGGGGCCACGTGGAGGACGCGCTCGGTGCCCACCCTGGGGCCCTGCTCCCAGAGCCGCTGTGCAAACACATTTGCTCCGCAGAAAAGAACGGGCCGAGGCTGCCACGACATCTGTTCCGGCAGCGGATTTCATTTCCAAACCGGCATTAGGGCAGGATTAGCCTCGCTGAGGCGTAGCTGGATGTGGGTGGAATGCATAACGCTAATCCCGGGCCCGCGTTGCCACGGGAGCAGCGCTGGGTGGGATGAAATATTTATGGCACATAAGCGCCTTCGCCTCGGCCTCCCTCATCCCGGGCATCGCCTTGTGCAGCAGGTTCTCTGCCCAGGGGAGCGGAACAAGGGCCGAGGCCAGGGCCTGGACACACAGAGCTTCCTCCCATCCTCCCAGCATCCGTTATCCTGGCCATCCCAGCGGCGAGAGGCGGCCGAGGGTAGGTGAGCGGGTTTGCAGACTCACATAAGCACGGGCCCTGCCTCGGTTGCTTCTCAGCTTCGACAGAGGACAGCTCTCTGGCGGCAGGGAGAACCCAGCCATGGTCACAGATGAGCCACCGCCATCCTGCTCTGGGGGGACTAGAGAGAGTATGACCCAGCAACTCCAAGTGAAGAATCCCAGGGAAGCCTCTGATTGGCTGGCCACCTGCCAATCAGCATGACAGAGGGAACTGGGGGTGGAGCTGCCAGGCCACAACAGGGGACCTTGACCAAGGCTCAAGCAGGCTGACCAACTGGTCCCTTCGGCCTGGAACGGTCCCAATTTCAGCAAAGTCCCAGGTCGCAGGAACCCTTCAGTCCTGGGCAAACCAGGTGGTCGGTCACTCTAAGCTCAAGAATCCGTCTAGAAATTTCCAAATGTAGTGAGTTGGCTGAGCAAGTTATAACCTGTTCCTCAAGCGTTCCATTCGGGCAAGTTCCCCTCCTAGTGTTTTAAAAAGAGACACTTCAAAATGGAACAACAACTGGGAACTGAAACGGGGTCAGGGGGCACCTTGTGGTCGCCCCCTTCCCCCGCAGAAGGCATATCCCCGCCTCAGCTCGTGGTTAAACTGAACCTGCTCTTTGGTAACCCCTGTTGGCCCGGGATTCTCAGGGGCACCAGGTTCCTCTTTCAGGGGTTCCTGGCCCGGAGCTGCTCAGCTGACACTTGGGGTCACACGCACCTCGATATCAGCCACCACAGTTCCTCCACTCGCGACGAGGGAAGTGGTCACGCAGCGCCCCTCCCGACGAGGTGGTCCGAGACACCCGGATGGGCAAGTTCCTTCCCCTCGGGACCAGCGCCCGAGCAGCCCGATCACCGCCTGACCTGCGCAGACAGCACGGAGGGGCGTTCCGGCGCCCTCGTCCCTGTGAGCTCGCCGGTGGCAGGAGTGGCCCTGGCACCAGGCCCCCTTCGGACGCGAGGGGCTGTGGAAGGGAGGGCACGCTGCCAGCCGCCCATCCAGGCAGGTGCCAACCTCTGTGACGTGAGGAACATCCGCAATGACGCGACGGTCGGGGACGTCGGCGAGTGCTGGCGGACGGCACCGACACCCTGTCCTCTCTCTCCACCTTCCAGGGCGGGGGTCTTCATTCCATCTGTGGGTCAGAGGAGCCGGGCCCACGGGCACTGGGAGGGCCGCTGACCACAGCTTTGCTAAAGGGAAGGCCTGTCTCTTCCAGGACACGCCGCTGCCCCTCGTGGGGTCCAGGCCAGGGAAGTGTGTTATAAGAGGACATCTTTTGTGCTTGTAAAACCCCGAAGCTCATGATGCCTGGGACCCAGCCCAGCCGAGCAGGCTCCAGTGTCCTGGGGACTCACCCTCGCCTCTGCCCTGTGTCTCCCAGCTCCTACAGGTCACAGCTCCCAGCCCCACCCCTCCCCCCGGGCTGCCTGGCCTCCCACCCTCCCCCTCCCCTCAGCTCCCGGCCCCTCT